AGTGCACACCCGTTCATGGGAGGGGCAGGGGGGGGGGGCTCATCCTGTCTTGGCCTCTCATTCAAAGGTCTCGGGTTCGAATCCGGATAGCGACGGAAAATTTTCTCCAAATTGTTCTCCTTTCACACCCTTTCCTGCTCTCTAACAATTTTCAGTCGTCTGCCTTCGTCTCCACATTCTGCCCCCATCCCCTTACCTCATGTGTCCCCTCCTCTGGGCCGCTGACTCTTTCTGCAGCCTTTTTACTGCTTCTCCTTGGCTCCTTCTTACTACTGTCTTTCAGCCACACCCCTGATATTATGGTAGGTAAGATCTACACCTAGCCTTCTCGGACAAGGGCGAAAAATTTCGGAGGTCTCATGTGCAAGTGCGCATGTTAAAGATCCCTTGGTGGTTTCAAACTCGATAAGAGTAGGCTTCGGCCGCCACCCGGGCAAAATTCAAAATCTTCTACCAACTGAAAATGTTTGGTGTGTTCCGTGCACTGATATAACCTTATGCAGTTGCGAGCGCTGTAAACCACTTGCAAAAAAAAAAAAAACAACACCCGTACACTTTTGTGTGAGGAAATACATGTACTGCCTGGGTGGTTCACACCTGTACACTTAAATACACTAGGCTGTACTAACAAAGGTGTCACGACACGGTGGAGTTGGGTGCTCGTCAATTTTTGTGCTTGCGGAGTTATTGGAATCATCTTATATCTTAAATAGAAATCGGGATATTTGCAATTGAAGGGGTGGGGGTCACCTGGTTCCAGGGTTAAAATTAGCCCAAAAATTACTGCCAAAGTTTGGTGACAGTCGAACTGAAGTGGCCTTGAAAACAGCAAATTTACACTTTTTGTGCATAAGATCAAAGATTTTCAAGAAAATCCACTCAGAAACAGGTTTTTAAATGGACACTAAAGGTGTCGGGACAACAACAGCAACAACAAGAAAAGAAAAATTGATCAAATTGGCCGAGGAACAAAAAGAAAATGCTTGTTTCTTTGATTCCTTTATTTGACGAGTGCCTGACTTCACCCTGATGCCTCACAAATGCATTTGGCACTTTTTTGTTTATATGTATAATAAAATGTGGAAGAGGCTACCGGTATGCAAGTGCTGTTAGTGAGTGCCCTCATTCTAAGTACTTCTTGTAACATGGAAGCCCACTGATGCCATTGGGATGAACGCCGTTTTTTGCCTGCCAAATTCACACCAGCAGTTTTCATTAAAACAAGGTGTCCATGGGAATTCTGTTCACTTTTGTCGAAGGCAACCCTATTCTCAGAGCAGCTTGCTCGAAAAAAACCGATTCGATCTCCTGCTAAATCACATCAGATTTGACGACAAAGACAACAGGACACAACGACAAGCAATGCACATGTTTGCCCTCATCCGCAATGTTTTCGTTTTAGGCAGTCTTTTGGCACTTACACCACAATAAGATCAAATAAATGCTGGAGTATTGATGTTGCAACCATACAAAAGGAAGAAGACAGATAAGGGCGATATATTTTTTAATAGGAAAGAATGAGCAAACAAGTAGTTCTGTTCCGAGGGCGATGTAGTTTCATCCTGTACGTTCCAAGCAACCAGACAAACAGAATTAAAATGTTCTGAGTGTGAGCAAAGGCTTCTCTTATTTGGGAAAGGAGCACACAGGACCAAGACTAGTCACAGACCCAAAAAAAGAGCGAAGTCGTTGGTTCCAACAGTGTTCAAAAGATGACTTAAGACTTCGAGAGCAGTGGTAGAAACATCACTGAAGTTGTCTGTTTTTTTCAGTCTTGACTTAGCAGAAGGAATGGTTTGAAAAAAATAACCTTACTATGGTTGGAACAGTTAGGAGGAGCAAAACATTTCTGCCTGTGAACTTCCAGTTCCAGACAAAAATGAACTTGGCTTTTTCGGAGTCAGTGTATGTATTTCGAAAGAATGCACCGCTGGTCTCTTATCAAAGCAAGAAAGAAAAAATTTATCTCCTTCTGCTCAGAAAGGCCTGAGTACAAGGGAAAGCCGGAAGTTCCCCTGCATTATAACAAAACCAAAAGTGGGATGGAAGCAACGGACCGAATGGCTCATGTAAAAACGTCAAACTGTCAAACGTAAGACAAAGAGATGTCCCCTGTGGTCTTTTACAACTTATTGATCTGAATACTGAATTCCATTGCCTCGCGCGTCATCCCGCAAGCCAAGCACCTCAGTGACAAGCTTTCACACGCGGACAACAGGCAGCTCTTCAACATGACTGAGGCAAGACTATTGGACGTCTCGTTGTGTATGAGGCCTTCAACTGTCTCTTCACTCTACCAACCAACCAACCAAACAAAAATTGACATAGTGCTTCCGTCCTAAGATCAACTCAAGTATCGGTTGTCGAAATCCAAAGCCAGAGGAAGTCCAAGACAAATGATGCGTCTCCTGAGTCTCAAACACAAAAGACCCGAGCTTAAAGCCGCCTGCAGTCTGCCAGCTCTATGTGGGGCAAGTAAGAAATCATAAGGGAATTTTTATACCTGTCGGCGCTTACTGGGTCAGTCTCCGAAATCGGAGTTCTCTTTGTTTTCGGCCATAGCCCTGAAGCCGCCTGAATTGATTGATAACCTATTTTATCACGATGCCCGACCGCATACTAGATCTACTCTTAGGTATCGAATAAATGGGGAGGGGGGAGATGTAGGAATAATAGGGAGGTAGGACAAGTGGTCCAAAATTTTAAAAAACGGGGGGGGGGGGGGGAATAAAAGGGGGGGGGGGTGACATTCAACTTCAACCCACCACCCCCTCCCCCCAAACTAGTAAGAACAAATCTGTTTTATTTCTCCTTCAGAGAATAAAAAAACAAGAGATCATGAAATTTTATTGATTTTAGTAAGTATCGATCTACAGTGCAACCGAAAAGTCACGGCACGAGCATTGTGTTGCGCTGTTGAGCCAGGATTCCAAGAATTCGAAAGGGGTTGTAATGCAAAGAAATAGGCCTGGTAATAGTAGGCTACGATTGCTCCAAAGGCGTAGGCAGTTCATTCGCAAAAATCGGATGGATACTGTAAATTCACAAGGTTCCTGAAAACAACGTGTTTCAGTTGTTTTTTTAATTTGGCACATGAGTCTAATCTCTAGATCTATTATTAATTGAAGTTTGGCTCGATCTTGCACCACTTTAATACTTGTACTTAGATGCAACTAGGACATGGTCTCGATCTATAAAATAGTTATAAAAGACTTGGAAACCAGCACTTTCTGCCATTCCTTTCGAACTGTGTAGTTTAGTCAGCTCGCGGAAACCCCGCAGCCAGTGCTGAGCGGGCCACGTCGAGAGTAGGCCTAGATCTACTAGTACTACTCTAAGGTATCAAATAAGCATACCCCCCCCCCCCCCCTTGGGGGTTTCTTTCTTTTCACACCAGGCCCAGGGCCCCCCCCCCCCCCCCCCCCCGCCCCGCACCTTATTCCATACCACCCGTCAATTATGGGGGGTTTTCAGCTGACCACGACCGACGACCATGTGAAACATTATATCTAGAATCTAGATATCTGAATGAAACTTCTTTCTTTTTTTAAAATTGTAAATGGCAAATTACCCTCAGTATTAGTACCGGTACCGGGTTGGCTACCTCAATTTTCTGTGCATTTTAAGAACTTTTGTACATAGGTTTATATTTTTTAATGAAACTGGTTTGTTCCTAAATGGGTAAAGTTGTCACAGTAACTTACTAAAATCACTAAAACGTTAGGATCTTTCATTCACTGAAGGAGAAATAAAACAGATTTGTTCCTTTTAGTACAGGGGTATGAGGTTGAATGTGCTCCCCCCCCCCCCCTCTTTTTTTAATTTTGAACCACTTGACAATGACAATCTTTATTCATCTCGCAGGGAGATATTTGTCCACCCCCTCCCTTTTTTTAAATTCCTGACACACGCCCCCACCCCCACCCCCACCCCACCCCACCCTTTTTTTAATTCATTACCTTAAATTACTTTGCACAGCCTGTTTTGAATAACACCTTATTCTTTTGCATCTCACATTCTTTGTGCAAATACAGGAATCACATCATGTTGCAAGCACACAGCTCGCACCCTAACAGCTTATCCCATGTCTCTTCGTTCTAAGATTCAGTTAAAAAGAAATCGGTTTTCCATTGATTCAATGCCTATAACTTTTTTTCCAACAACAACAACAAAAATAATCATAATCATAATAATCACAATAATAATAATAATAATAATAATAATAATAATAATAATAATAATAATAATAATAATAATAACAATAATAATAATGATAATATTAATAATGATAATAATAATAATAATAATAATAATAATAATAATAATAATAATAATAATAATAATAATAATAATAATAATAATAATAATAATGATGATAACAATAATAATACGATTCGAAAAAGTTAAGGAACACTTATATGAATTTTTATGAAGTGAGAACACAGTGACAAAAACAAGTTGGGTTTTTTACATATTGTCTTTTTTAATATCCAAAGAGGCATGTGATAACATCGAACATTGTAACAAATCAACTCCAACCAAAATAATATGCACGGTGGAAATGTGTATCCCCAAAAATAAAAATCACAAAACGAAGTTCCAATACAATGTTCAGTTTCGAGTATGTCCTCCAGTATTAGTCAAGCACTCTCTAAACGTATTATGCATAGACCTAACCAAATTTGTCAGAAACACTTGTGGAATAACATTTCACTCTTGTTGTACATTGTGAAGAAACTAGTCAAGAGTTCCAGCTGGTGGGTGATTTTCCTGAACACGGCGCCGTAGTTCGCCCCTTAAATGTTCAATAAGGTTTTGATCAGGGCTAATTGCGGGCCAAGGCAGTTTGTTGATTCCATTTTCAGCTAGGAAATCGTTGATAAAACGAGCACGATGTGGCCTGCCGTTGTCGTCCTGGAAGATTGCGCCAGCACAAATCAACTGCAGCTGCGAGACTACTGTTTTCACAATGCAGCAGTCTTGAAAGTGGCGTCTGGTCCATGACGTCTCCACACTCGAATGTGGCCATCTTGCGGCTCCAACTGGAATCTCAACTTGTCGGTGAAGAGGACATGATCCCGGTCTGTTCGTACCCACCTCTGGATGCTGTGTACTCCACCTTCGGAGTGCTTCTCGGTGGTCTTGGGTGTGGATGCGGTATTTATCTTTGTCGAGATAACAATAAATAACAACTGATAAAAACAGATCACAACTGATAACAACAAATAACAACTGATAACAACAAATAACAACTGATAACAGAAAATAACAACAGGCAACAACAAAATAACAACTGATATCGACACAAACGTCCTAATTTAGGTTTTTTCCCCGATAAATTGTTACTTTCGATTTTGGTAGATTAAGTAGATTTCAGTCACTATGCCAGCTCAACACGGAGCGAAATGTTACTGCTCTTATAGACTAATGCAGAGGTGGAGATGTTGTACGTAGCCGCAGGAAACCACCGGTTATGTCAAACAAAGGCACGGGAAAGGGGAACAATAGAACAGATAGCCGGATGCGATAATCAATCACCTGGAATGGTCACATGACGCTTTGTGTGAGCTGGACAGAACTGGTCCCAACCTGCTGCACCATTGTCCGGAACACTTCAAGGTGCCCTTACGATAGAGGCGGCGTCGCGGGGTTTCCTTCTGAATTAACTAGAGCTATATGGAGTGCCCATTGCGGGACCGAGTCGGGTCGGGTCGGGTCAGTTTGCCAGCCAGATGGAGGGTGCAAAGCGGCTATCGTGGCACAAACCGATCGCGCCCGACTCGTCGCCTCAAAAACAAACGCGTTTGTTTTCAGGCGACGAGTCGAGCGATCTACCCGATCCTACCCGATCCCATACGCAATGGGTCCGTTATCATTCCATCAGCCTTGTCTTCTGTTGGTTTATTGTTAATTTGGGGGAAGGGGGGTTTCTTTCGGCATTGATACGCTGCCATTTTGCTATTATTTAATTTCTCAAGATCATGTAGGGCCTAAAAGTATTTCATTTTAACTTTTATTTGACGTAGTCTAGGGCCTGAAGCTTACCAAAAAAAACCTCACAATTAAACCTTTGCGCCCAACGCATGAAATCGCAGACCACTTAACCTTCAAGCACACTGGTGATGGACTGACAGTGGAAAAACAAATTGCCGACGCGCCTATTCCTCAGAAGTTAAAGGGTAGCGACGCGTAGGCCAGAAAAGTGTTAATGCCTTTCATTTATATCTTTTTATTTTATAAATATGTAGTGAACAGGACTGGACAACCCCAATCACTCTGAAAGATCTCTTCTTTTTTTTTACTTATGCACAATTTAGATCATTTACAAGGCTGGCTTCGGCCTTGTCTGTTAAGGACAACCTGAGTTGAGAGAGATATAACACCCCAGCCGAAAGACGGAAAAACTCGACAAAAATGTTCCCTGCATGGGCTTCGAACTCAGGACTTTTGTGTGGGGAACGCCAAACACCGGTATGATCACAATAACAAAGGATTGTGTCACGGTTTCCTTCTGGGACACGGGACGTGCTGAAATATTGACAGGACTATACGATATAAGAAAGTTAGAACCAATGAGACTTGAAACATTATCCCACCTGAGTTGCTGCTCACGTCACCGACAGACATTGACCTAAATATAAGGTTACATAATGAAACAATTCTGCCATGAATGAATGATGAAAAAGACAACGGCCGTTTGGATGTTACGAGCCAAACGGTCCAGGTGTAAACTCTTCAACGGATGGGGGAATAGAAAATGATCTGTGTACACCGTGTAAACTCAGATGCTGCTGACGAATAGACAGACTGACTAGGTTGGCTACCACATTTTTGGATTGTGCTATAGCGAAATAAAGCCTTGTTATTGACGGTTCTTCGCGATCATCATCATCATAATCGACAACGTCATTATAGTCACCGTCGTCGTCTTTGTCGTCCTTTTCTTCCTCACCTCATCATCATCATCATCATCATCATCATCATCATCATCATCATCATCATCATCATCATCATCATCATCATCATCATCATCATCATCATCATCATATTATTATTATTATTATTATTATTATTATTATTATTATTATTATTATTATTATTATTATTGCTGTTACTATCATCATCATCATCATCAGTATCATCATCGCAATTGTGCAGTAGAAAAAAAAAGATGTTCGACGAGCTTGAATAATAGCAAGCGTAGAACTAGAAGGAAAAAAATCCCTCATGCCGCCCCCCCCCCCCCCAAAAAAAAACAAACAAGAGCATAATGGTGACAAAGCATTCACCTACTTGATAGTTCCCAATAAGGAAACATATATTATTATACATGCCGTGATGAGCCAAGTCTCAGAAAACAGAATCTCCAACTAATCACAATTTTGATCATGGTAATCATCGATAGTGACGACGATGACGTTGTCGATGATGATGATGATGATGATGATGATGATGATGATGATGATGATGATGATGATGATGATGATGATGATGATGATGATGATGATGATGATGATGATCAAGATCACTGTGAAAGCGGGTTCAACAACTGGGGTAGGCTTGGCCCCCCTCCTGGTTGAGCATGTGAGAAAGGATAAATGGGTCAAACGAAATGTCAAAGCTCACTCTGAACTGGTATTAAAAAACATATAAGTAAGCAACAACAGCAACAACACCAACTACTACTATTACAACAACAACAACAACAACAACAACAACAACAACAACACACAAAAAACATTTTTTTAAGCTAGAAAAAAGTGGATCATAGTCCTGTTCAAACATCACATTGAAAAGCAATTATCATAATAATGATAATAAATAGCATTTATACTGCGCATTTCCATTTTCTAAAAGATGCTCAATGCGCATTACAACGAAAAAGACATCACATCTTAAAAATTAACCGACAAGTGTGTACGTAAAACAACGTATTATACATATAATATAAATGCATATGTGTAAAATTTGATATGAGAAAAATAGTCTCACAGTGAGGTTGAAAATGTGTTCACTTTTTAAAAAAATACAATGCAATAAAAATTCACGAACGGTCACAATAAAGTGGAAACGTGAGTAACTAGAAACATTCATTAAAACATTAATTCTATACAGATAGAAAAACATTTCCGTTCTCTCTCTCTCTCTCTCTCTCTCTCTCTCTCTCTCTCTCTCTCTCTCTCTTTCTCTTTCTCTCTCTCTTTCTCTTTCTCTCTCTACCTCTCTCTCTATCTCTCTCTCTCTCTTTTCTCTCCCTATCTCTCTCTCTCTCTCTTTTTCTCTCTCTCATTCTCACACGCTATTTCTTCAGTCTCACAGTCTGGCATACACACGCATATATATCATCGTTATATATAGTGTATAAAAAGCAAAAGTAACGTTGGAGACTTATAAGCACGTGCAACTATTATTCACAATTCAAACGATATTTTTTAAGTGTTTTATTGCTTACAGATATATGCAAAAAGAGGGAAACGTTTACGACATAACTATTCTGCCCTGGGGTCTTTCCTCTCACGTTCACTTGCCATTCTGTCCTCTTCACTAATTCAAGGAGAAATTTATATCATATCACATTAATCATCGAAACTTAATGATGGTGTATCTTTTTAAAAATATCCTGGAATTAAAACAGTCAGGAACACCACAAATTAAGAGGAGCTCAGAAGGCTGCCTGTTAGCGCGATCATCACTCACTGTTGTTGTTGTTGTTGTTTTTAAAAACAAACAAACAAACAAATAAACAAGCAAAAACACGATTTTTTAACCAATCCTGGCAAGTTCATCGGTCTTCCACCGCTTGGAGAGTGAATTTGGGTGACGGATACCTGCTCCGCCATTAGATGCCGTCATTAAATCTTGAAAAGGATCGGTCCTGCAACGATAGATTTGTAAACACGTTATTTGCCACGTGGTCTTTCGAGACAGTTCGCCCGTAGAAATATTTCACTCAACAACTTTACAACGAAAATGTTTGTGGTCGAATAGAAAGATGTTTGAGTTCTGAACACAGTAAAATGTGAGTGGACAACTTCTTCAGTGAAAAGGTTGACTTAATTTACGCTGTAAAAGACCAAATGCGGCAGTGTTCAGCATTAACAGGCCCACACTAACGTTTGAAAGAAAGTAGCACAGCAATAATTAATTCTTGCTAAGCAAAATCACCCCTCCGCTGTTTGCCGCGATAGTGTTACCAAATTGATTTTCTCTTGGTGTTGAAAAGCGAATAACCCTGGTCTACATTTTCGGCCTTTGAGCTAACGTTCGCTAAGAAGTGTTCGTCATAATGTTAGCCGTGGGGTAACAATCCATTTAAAACTTCATCATATTATTTTATCCAAGAAAAAAGGAACAAACTCTCAGTCGCTGAACTCTGAAGGTAAAAATACATCTCTTTGTGACTATTCCGTGTTGCAGACTATAAAATCATTTTAAAAAGAAAGCATACAGAGAGTGTATAGCCAGAAAAATGAAAGAAAGAAAACTATTACGAGTCACCCAATCTACTTTAATGCTACTGTGTTGTGACATTTTTGTTTCTGACTGCAACATATTACCTCGACAGAAAACTGTAAAGTTTGAGGTGAAAACCACGTGCAATGATATTTCTTGTGGCCGTTTAAAGAGTGATCAGCCTGTACCATTAATCGCACAAGACTCGCTGGATTGTGCGAGACGGTGCTCTATATTCGCTAATTGTCTTGGATTTGTAAACGAAGGAAATAAGTGTTACTTATACGAAGACTGTAGTCATGACTGGGCATGCGGCGATGTTTCTTGGCAACCACCGTCCACTTTCTATGTCAAAACTTCGGAAGTTGCACAAGTGTGTAAACATGGCGGGGCGTGGCGGGAGGATCTGGGAGGTTGTCAGTGTACTGGTGGCTGGGCTGGAACGTACTGTCACAGGCCTGTCGGTAGCTGCATTGATTTAAGCAGAACTGGATACCCAAGAGGAATACACACATTGAATATTGTTCTTCCTCAAAGCGGTCAAGTTCTGAAAGTGTACTGTGAAATAAGCCCGCGACACGCCAGCACAGTCATTCTAAGACATGGAGCAAAAAAAGATTTCAATCTATCATGGGACAAATACGTGAAGGGACATATCTATTCCAATTACAACTACTGGGCCGGCCTTGACACGATTCACGCACTCACCAAAGCTGGATACAACACCCTGACGTTTGAGGTGGTGTATAACTATCCCACATTCACATCACAGAGTATATTATACAAGGATTTTCACGTAGGAGACTCTTCAACAGACTACACTCTTACTGTGGGCCAGCCTAACCAAGGGAAAGGGGGCGTTTTCTTTGACGACTATGGGGCAGTTTTGGGAGACTGTCTCAGTCCCGCCAACGGTGCACGGTTTTCAACAAAGGACGCTGATCACGACCTTGAACCCGAAAACTGTGCTGCTCTCGCTGGAAGCGGTTGGTGGTTTAAAGACTGCAACTTTGTCTGCAATCCATTTGGTCGATTGCCTGGCTCCGGAAGTGAAACCCTCTCGTTGCCTGGTCTGAACTTTACCCATTCTGATTATGTCGACCGCTTCGCTTCTGTCCAAATGTACTTTTATGACTCTGTGTAGTCAAGAGATGAGCTCTTCTACGCCAGTGTCTGTGAAGTATACGTTTATTTCTGAGTGTATAAATATTGTGCTTTTTTAAAGAGTTAGACAGTGAAAGATGTGACAGACAGACAGACAGACAGACAGACAGACAGACAGACAGACAGACAGACAGACAGACAGACAGACAGACAGACAGACAGACAGACAGACAGATGGACTGACTGACAGAGGCAGAGATAGACTGAGAGAGAGGGACAGAGAGAGAACGAGGGAGAGAGAGAGAAACAGAGAGAAACAGAGAGAAACAGAGAGAAACAGAGACAGAGACAGAGGCAGAGAGAGAGATGACAGACAAGGGGTAGGAGGAGAGGTTTAGCTTGTCGTTGCGTCATCAAATCAGATGTGATTTAGCTGGTGCCCAGAATCTATTGTTTTTTGGAAGGTTTATAGATATATATTTTTTTTTTTTTTAGCAATCTGCTCAGAATAGAGGGATGCCTTCGGCGAAATTGAACAGTATTTTCAGGGACACTTTGTTTCATTTTTTTTATATACTGCCGGTGTGTATTAGAAATGCAATAAATGCTTTCATATCAATGGCACCAGTGGACTTCCTTGTTACAACAAGTACTTGGAATTGGGGCCACTCACTTCTCAGCACTTGCATAGCTCATTCTTTTCAAACTTACTATCATATTTTATGATAAACTCAAAAAAGTCAAATGTTTTTGTGTTTGCACAACCTTACGTACTTAAGTGTACCTTTGTGAAGAACCCAGCCATCATTTCGTCACACAAAAGCATACGGGTGTGAACCATGCAGTCAATAGAAATGAGATATGAAATAGGCAAGTGGGGAAATGAATAGTGGCCCTTAGGGTAAGTAAGATCTAGCACCTAACCTTCTTGGATAAAGGCGGAAAATCTCGGAGGTCCCACATGTGCAAGCTGCGCACGTTAAAGATCCCTTGGTGGTTAAAAAAATAAGAGTAGGCTTCGGCCGCCACCCGGACAAAATTTAAAATTAATTCCTTCCAAACTGAAAATGTTTAGTGTGTCCCATGCACTCATATGACCTTATGCAGTTGCAATGCGAGCGCCGTAAAACACAACCAAAAACAACAAAGAGATGAATGGAGACTCAGAAAACAGAATCTCCAACTAATCACAATGTATTGCTTTGAGTGGTTCTGACACTGGGATGGGCTTTGCCATGGTCTTGGCTGATCATGAGAAAAAGGTTAAATGGGTCACAAAGCGTAAAAACTCACGCAGAAACAAATTTAAAAATGGGAAAACTATATCATAATCATGTATAAACATCACAGAGAAAAGTAATTATCGTGAAATAAAAAGCAGAGTAATGTTAGAGACGTTATTGTTCACAATTCAAAACCATTGTATACTTACTAACTTACATGTATTTTACTCTCTCTCTCTCTCTCTCTCTCTCTATATATATATATATATATATATATATATATATATATATATATATATATATATATATATATATATATATACATATATATACCATCAGATACATAAGGCGGAGAGTGTTTGTCCCGGGCCACTTTCTCCAATTTCGGCACATCTAGGCCCTGTGTGATTGCCTCATCTCTTATTGTGCCTCTATAGCTTCCAGTTGATCTTCCCCGCTTTCTCTTTCCAGTCGGTTTCTAATGCAATGTCTGATAGGGCAATCTCGTCTGCGTCATACTTAGAACGTGTCCCAGATATTTCCCATCTTTTCTTTTTTTTATTTTTATTGTGTTAATATCTTCAATTCCAGCTCTTTCCAACACTTCGTTATTGTACATGTAATAAATTCATTCCATTTTATTAATAAAAATTCTTCGCAAACATTTTGTTTGGAAGCTTTTTAATTTTCGTTGAATTGTGTTGTTTGTTTTTCATATCTCTGAACCATACGTCAATACCGCCAAAATATTGCTATCATATTTTTTTTTGTCTTCAAGTAAATGATCTTCGACTGTCATATAGTTTTTCATTTCATAAAAGCGATCCATGCATTTTTAAGCCTTTGGTGGACGTAGTCAACGCAGTCTGCAGTTTATGACATAATGCGGCCAAGGTACTTGATTTTTTACTCATTTCTGCAAAGGGGTCTCCATAAAGAGTGATGGGCGTAGTTTCTGATGATAGTCGTAGTATTTCTGTTTTGGATACATTTATTATAAGACCAACTTTTTCCGCAACGTTTGCTAGTTCGTCTGTGTTTTAGTGCATTTCATGTACTGTGGCGTTTAATAGGCAGATGTCATCCGCAAAATCTAAATCTCATAAATATGTTCCATTTGTCCACCCAATGCCTGTTTCAATGTATTTACTCTGTCTTATTACAAAATCGATCACAATTCCAAAAAGCACAGGTGATGTTGCAGCCTTGTCTAACACCAGTGTTTACTTCAAAAGGTGTAGATAGTTCTCATTCAACTAGGACACAGCAGCTTGCATTGGCATATAATGATCTTATACAGATTATTATTTTATACCATTGTATAAAAGAGGACTTTTCTATTGCTCAAAAAGGTGCAAAAAGAGGGAAGCATTTACCACAACTATCCTCCCCGGGGATCTTTCCTCTCACGTTTGCTCACCATTATGTCCTTTCAGGCAGCCTCTCATTTTGAATGATTTAACGTCTGTTAAAGAACACCAGATGAAACTATTTTGTATTTTGTACAAATATGAAATCGGTCCTGTTGTTAAAAACATGTTTTTAAACAACAAAGAAACACAAAAAAGCTCACTATTTCTTTTAACCAACCCTTGCAGATTAATCTGTCTTCCACTGCTGAGAGAGCGAACTGAGTGACGGATACCTGTGCCACTCTGAAAGAACCCCCACCCCTGCTTTTCCATCGACATTCTATCACTGGTGTGCTTGGGTGTTAGTTGGTTCGGTCTCTGAAAATTGCTGATTTTCCGAACCTGCTGCTCATTATTTTCTTTATTTATTGGTGCATGCGCGCTCTATTAGATCAAAGACCGTAATCTTTGATTAGATGCCGTCATTACTTACTTTACTTTATCCGTCCTCTTGTAACTCTAGGGCGTCGAGGGGAGACAGAGCTCCCTGTCACTAGCAAGTTTGATGGCCTGGCTGGGTGGGATTTTGTATGTTTTCAGGGCATCCTTCACACCCTGGACCCAGGTCTTTCTTGGTCTCCCTCTTGCCTTGTACTCTGATACTTTTATGTAGTAGGCTTTACTGGCAAGCTGGTGAGGTGCCATACGTGTGAGATGTCCAAACCACTTGATTGTTTGCCTTCGAATGTAGTGGAGGACCGGCGTTGTTCCCACCATTTCTCTGATCTTGTTGTTTCTGACCATGTCCCGTCTGGCTTTTATTGACAGCTCTCCTTAGACATCTCATCTCTTACGTTCCAGACTTTTGATCAGGGTCCATTGTCTGGCACTGGTAGGTAAAGATGGGGATGAAGGAGTTAATGAGCTTGGCTTTGGTCTCAATGGGAATGTTAGGGTGTTTGAGGAGTGGGGAAAGCTGGTAGCTGACGCTGTTAGCCTTTTGTACTCTCGTCTCAATTTCACTGTTAGTTGAGACGTCCGTCCTCCGAAAAGATGCTACCAAGATACTTGAACTCGCTTACTTGTTTCTGCGGATTTCCGTCGATGGTGGTGTTAAGGTTGCCAGGTGTTCTGCTGGTTTTCATTGTCTTCGTTTTGCTTTTACTGATCTTCATTTTGAGTTTTTCACATTGTGTATTCAACCTGTCTGTGTTCTCTTGAAGTTGCTCTTGTTTCTCCTATGCCAGGCTTTGATCGTCCGCAAACAGCATCTCATTCAGGTCTACCGGGTTGGGGTTCGCTTTTTTGTAATTTTGTCCACGTATATTATGAACAGTAGCGATGATAACACACAACCTTGTCTCACTCCAAATGACACGTCGAACCAGTCAGTGAGTCCGTTTTGGGCGCGGATTGTGCTCATACTGTTGGTATAGATGGTTCTGATATTGTCCAACAGTTGTCCCCTAATGTTGTACTCTTAAAGTGTTTGCCACAGTTTTTTTCTATCTACTCTATCAAAAGCTTTTTCCTGGTCTGCAAACACACATCGTGCTTTGTACATTTGTACGCTGTTCCAGGATCTTTGCGTGCGTCTTGCCTGTGTGGCTCAGAAGGGAAATTCCTCGGTAGGTGTTGCAGTCTTTTTTGCTGCCTTTCTTCTTCCAGATTGGTATCACAACTGCCCGCTGCCAGTGTTCTTGGACTTTCCTCTCCCTCCATGCTTTTTGGAATACGTGTATTGTGGTCAGCCAGGTGATTGCTGTTTCTCCACATGCCAGGATGACTTCAGTTGTAATGCCATCAATGTCTGCTGCTCTGTTCTTTGGGCCATTCTTCAGTTCTTGCTGTACCTCTAACCGGATGTTTGGTTCTTCTTATATTGGGTATCGTAGTTGAAATTGGCCCTGGGTGTTTTCTTGGCTGCTTGGGTTAAGGAGTTCCCTGAAATACTTATGCAATCTGTTGTTGATACTGTCTTCCTCATTGAGTGGGTTTCCATCTTTGTCATTGACTACTGTTGTTGGGCTGTATGGCTTGTCTCGTAGTCTCATTGCTTTTACACTTTTGTAGAACTGTCGTGGCGAGTGTTTGCACAGTTCACTTAATATTTCGCCATATTCCTTCCATGACTGTTTCTTGGAACTTCTGACTATCCTTTTGCTATGACGTCTTGCAAGTCTGTATTTCACACAGTCCTCATCCAGCTTTGATTTTACCCACGCCTTGTACAACTCTTTTTTTCCTTGATGGCCTCCTTCACTGTGTCATTAGACCAAGCTGTCTGCTTCACCTGCGCTCTCCCGTTGTTCTTTGTGCCGCGATCTTTACGGAGTGTCTCTGTCAGCGTAGTCTTCAACACTGACCATGTTTCTTCTCCTCGAATTTCTGAGCTGTCTACTTCTTTCAGCTTCTGTGTGACTTTCTGTCTCCATTTACTGTCGTACTTCTTCCTTCTGGAGTTT